GCCGTTCCGTTATAGCCATTTTATCGTCAAAGGTAAGTTTTTTAAGTTTTTCGGGAACTTCTTATAAAGCCTGAAAAACTGTTCAAATGGTTGAACTAGGTAAGATCTGATAATTTGAAAGGCGAATTTTTTTTCATTCCCATGACCATTGAGTGCGTAGCGGACCAGTGGAATGATTTGGGAGATCCAACCGATGTCAGAACATGTGTTTCTACCTTTTCTCACCAACCGTGTGGTAGCTAAACGGACCAAAACACCTTTTGGCGTCTTGGCTCGGGTATGATCCTGTCCTATTGACGTTTGAGATCGATCAGAGAAGCCGTGTAGTAGAGTTTCTTCTCAAAACTGTTTCTTCAAAAACTTGTTCGAAACATAAAGTTTGCTGTTAGTCAGCCCCTTTTTGGGATGCGGGACGCCTTGTGTTTCTGTTCTGGGCCGTAGTGGCACATTGAGCGCTATCTGACATATACGATGACTTGCGGGGTTTAGCCGATGTATAGGTCAGCGCTTTCGTTCCTCCACCCAAACAAATCTGGTACCAATTTACCGTTCCTGGAGAGTAGAAGGCTTGGGTGGCCTGGAAGGGGTTGATTCAGGATTAGACCCTCTGGGCCGCACGCTTAATGTGCGTGCCACCTGCCATTTCACCACATCAGCCTTCAAATTTTGGTTATCACAGGTTTTTGTCAAAAAGTCTTTTCTTTCGAATAATCATGAACTGCTGACGGAGCGTGCAGAACTTCGAAAGAGTGGTCAACGCTTGTAAATCACTGGTGTTAACATCTTCGTCATAACTTTTATTTCAGCCGTTGTGGGAGATTTTGAAGAAACGACGCGACGAGCTGGAAAGCGAAGCAAGCGGCGGAGCACAGATCTCAGTGTGATAACTAGTGTGATATGTGTCTTTCTAGGTCCTAAGTACTCGGGTGGCTTCCTTTTTTAGTAATAAATATTCCAAACTATATCTGTGGTGTTTGTTTTATCATCCAGAGGTCCAGTTTCCTCTAGTATTATTGTACTCTCAGCTACTATTCTATTTTTATTGATATGCTTGAATAATTCGCTCTACTGCGGTTCTCCTTTCTAGGGAATCTAGGCTACTATGGCAAAAGAGCTAGAACTTGAAGAGCAGATTGCAGCACAAGGAGATTTAGTGCGCCAGCTCAAAGGAGATGCTTCAGCGTCTGAGGTACGTCCCGAAATGCAAAATTCTAGTCATTTCTTTAGTTCTAAAATTATTGCTTTCTTTGATTTAGAATTATTGCTTGCGAATCGAATCCGGAGCTGTTTTGCCTTAGGATGTAAAAAAGGAAGCCATTGATAAGCTCTTACGATTGAAGTTGACCTACAAGGAGATAACTGGGAAAGATTATGCGGCTCCCGGTGGTCGTAAACAAAAAGTAGGTTGTCCTTTCACCTTATTTTGCTTTTTCCGTTTAAATCAAGGCGAAGTGTTCCAGGAGAAAAAGCCTGCTCCAGAAAAGAAGCAGGAGAAAAAACAGGAGGC